TTATCTAGATCATCAAGAGGTATGTATATATCTAATTTATTATTTACTTTAAATCTAACAATACATAGAGTATATGTTTGAAAAACTTGAATGATTTAATATATAGAATCTAATGATCTAATATATTGTCCGAAAAGTCTAAATTTTTTTATTAGTTTTATTTTTATTTAAATTTTATCATTATATTTTGTTGTTATTTCTTAATCTCATTATTATACTTTGCATTATAGAAATTTTATGATATCAAACCTCATAAAATTTTATTTTGTGGCCTTTGACATTTGGGCAAGAATTATTGATCATGAGTATTTGATAACGTTTGATTTATCTATCTTTTTATTTATATTTGTTCCAAAACATTCATCAAAATTTTTAATGGTATATTTTTTTTCTAAAATATCTATAACTAAAATTTATTTTGTAAGAAATTGTTCAAATGCAATTCTCAAACAAAGATATTATAGAAAAATATAAACAAAAAATTATAATATGACATAATAATTAATAACTTTTTAAATATATGTGAAAAGTTAAAGAGAACGAAGTTTTTGGAAGAAAGAGGATAATTTTTTCAAGAGTATAGGAGAGTATTAAAATAAATAAAAAATTTAATAAAAAATATTTAAAAAATATATATATTTTGTAACATGTATTGTTCGTTTTTTGAGAGTGTAATAAAACATTTTTATAATTGTTGGTTGCATAGGATTTTTTTTTTAATTTTTAAAAATGGCAAAAAATTAGAAGTTTAACACTAAAATGATTTTAGAGAAGTTTGATTCAAGATGAACACATTTATATTTCCCATTAGAAAGAACATCAATAGCAAAATTTTCAGGTAGTGTGTAACTTAATTATATAGAAATAAATTTCATAGTTTGTGGTTAACGTTTTTTATTCACAGATTATGGAAATTTAATTATTAAATTAAATCATAAATCAATTCTTTTCTTTTTTAAAAACAAATTAATTAGTCTTTCACATTTTAAAAACTAATTATTTTTTATTTTATGTTCTTTTCTAATGCATTTTATTTTATTTTTTAAAAAATAAATAGATATTACGGAAAGATTGAAGAGAATAAAAGACATTTTCTAAAATAAAATAATACCAGATTAAAAATGATTAATACTAGTCAATAAACTAAATAATTAGTTTTTAAAACAATGAGAACTAATTAATTTGTTTCTCCAAATTAGAGAAACTAATTTATAATTTACTCTTAATCATTACGAGGTGAAGATTTTATGTATATCAAACAAATTACGATGAGAAGTCCTTGTAACTCTCAATTTTTCAATTGTTTTTTGTTCCCTCTCTTGAATTTTCATGGTCTACCACACCTTATAATTTTGACATCACAACGTGGATATGACTTGCTTTGTTCTTTAATTTCTTTTGTTGGTTCTTTCATCGTGTGGATACACGGAAAGCACTATTTGTAGTCCTAACTTTCCAATTGGTAAGTAGCTTTTCATCTGTCACATCTTTCAGTTGCATCATTTAGGGAAACGGCACAGAAATCAGCCCCCTCCTTCGTGGTTAGCGTTTCATTGACATTTCGAAATCCGCTTTAGAAGATGTCTGTTTCAAGCAAATTAATCTTTTACAAACGAAAATTTCTCAAAAATATTTTATGGTGATAATGGTACCACCATGATATATACTATGTTTTGATTTAATTAAAATCAAAATTTATTTTTTATTATTCACACATAATTGGTAATAGTTATCTCTAATCGATTAAAATTTAGAAGTGTTTTGAAATTAATTTAGCCTCAAAAAAATAATTTTGATAATACAGAAATTAATTCAAAAATATTTTATCATTTATAAATAAAAAATAAAAAATATATAATTATTGAGGTGGGGTTGCAGAGTAATGGGTTTTAGTTAGGAAAAAATCGTGAAGAACAAAGGAATAGACCAAAAATTCAAAAGACGAAGGAATAGCACGTCTAGAACACACGACAAATTTGAACGACGGGCGTCTGACCTGCGTTCGCAGAAAGAAAGCACCACGTTTGGACTGCAGCTAGCGGTCTTCTGTCCTAATTTGACTAAGGAAATAAAGATGAGAAACAAATGAATAATTAATCAACTCCGTTGAACGACCATAACTCAATCGATTAATTGCTTAGATAAGGGCTTCAGCAGGCAAATTAATTATACACACTGGTCCCCTGAACATACGTTGTATTATTGAGTCCAAGCAAGCATGCTTGATAATGTATAAATTGTTAAAGAATCTCTAAGTTGCCAATTCTGAGAAGAGAAAGCCTAGCTATTCCAAAAAACTTAAAATACAAATTGTGCCTCGTAATTAAAAGTATACTAGTGAAATAACTAAAAGAAAGACCGTAAATTAAGAAACTTTGATTTTATATCAGTCATGGAAAGCGAAACAAATTAATTGGTGAAATTTATGAATGGCAAAAATTGATTTTTTTATATTTATTATAATTTGATAATTTCAAATATTTATTATCAATTTACGTAATTTAAAATTTAAAATATTTGATTTTTGAACAAATTTTATTCAAATTCATTAATTGTAATGGTCAGTCTAGTTGACTATTTATCTTTTTTTTTTTTCATGTTGTTTTTTTAAATATTAAAATTTTTTTCTTCATTTTTAATAGAGATTCTTTATATTTAAAATTTTCACATGTTAATCATTTTCATTTTTTCATAGTCAATCAAATTGTTATTTGTATATAATTTTTTTCAATTTTTAAAAATAATTTTTATGTAGTATCATTATCCATTAAAACAATCAACCTCTATAATTAATAAGATAAAAATACCAATTGGTTGAATTTGATCAATTGAAAATATCAAATAATTAATTTTAACTAAAACTTTTCTTTTTTCATGCCAATAAATTTATTTTTGAGATTGTCAATCATTAAAATTTAAATATAACTTTATTTCAAGATTTTTTTTTATCTTCACTGATTTTATATGATTTTTTTTTCTTACAATTGATTCAAATATATAATATGCATTTAAAATTGTTAGAGTTCAAAAACCATTTTTTTAAAATTTTTCTAATTTTATTTTATTTTTAGTTTTTCAAATATAGGTTCAAAAATTGAAAGCTCTTTTTCATAGAGAAAAAAAATAGTAATAGATTTAATGAACTTTATTTATTTATTTATAGGTAAACATGTGCTTAAAAAAACCTCTCTTGGAAAATGGAGAAAAAATATTTTTAACATAAAAAAATTAAGAGCATAAAAAAAAATTAACGGTTAACTGGGTTAGATGTTGAAATTAACGGATATATATAAAATTTGCCCAAAAATTGATAATTTGTGACAAATTACACAAATTGGTAATAAAAGTTTAAAATCATCAAATTATAATACAATAAGGACATTTTTGCCATAAAATCGAATCAAAATCTTATCACCTTAAGGATAATATGAACACTCAACACCTCGTAAATGGTCTTTTTTTTAGTATAGAATTTAGAAATATAAGTAGACTGTCATATACGATATAAAAAAAACCTATTTACTCAAATGATTTTTTTTCAATATTTCTTAAACACGTAGAACAACATACTCTCATTAAATATCAAGCAAAACAGTTATATAAAGAAGACTAAACGGTTCAAAACTTTTTTTTTTTTTTTAAACTTAAGTCATTAAGAATCAATTATCCTTTTCTTAATTTCTAATTATATTTTTTCTTCAACTATTTTTTATTTGAAATTAAATCATTTTATTAGGTTTTCATCAATTTTAATATACAAATGCAGTTTTTCAATAGCTAAAAATATGTTAAATTTTATGAATATTTCACTTTTCCTTCCAAAACTTATTTATTCCCTCCTAAAGGCTTAAAGGTTAGCAATTAAAAAATATTTTAAAAAGAAAAAAAAATCAATTTTGCTGAAAAAAACAAAGTATCCATAAATTTTGACACATTTTTATCTACTAGGAAAGTTAAAAATTCAATTACGTGCAATTCATGTGTATTTAAACAATTAGAATTAACGAAAACCTAAACGGAAAAATAATATTTTAAATGAAAAATAGTTAAAGGTAGACTCATTCTAAATTAGAAGTTAAATGATTTATTTTCCAACTCCTTAAAATTTAATGGAGGATTTTTCATTTATCCTGTAAATAATATACATGTATTATATATAGGATATAGATGTCGATCCATCCATTGAAGGTGACTCGTACAGTGATTTCAAGCAATGATTATTTTACTCTTTTCTTTTTTGTCACAAAAAAATTAATAAATTGTTTTTTACTATATAATTCAGCCACATAAATTACAATAAATTTAACTGATCAGATAATAAGTCACAGAAGAAAAAACGCTGAAAATATGACCTGAGAAATTTTATATTATTCAAAAAAATAATTACCAATATTTACTTCATATAAAAAAATAGAGAAAAAATTAAAAAAAAATTAAGCACAGATGAAAATATTTTTATTATTTTTTATGAGTCCTGAAGTTATTTTTTTTTAATCTATTTTTTTTAAATAAATCTATAAAATAATTATTGTAAGTGTACGGTGACAACTATCTAAGTATTATAAACCTTTTCAGTATGACCCTTTCGTCGCAAGTAGAGTACGGATTAAAGACGCAAAATGTTTATTTTAACAGTGGTCAAAAATCTGATAGTGTCAAAGCGAAATGTATCCAAGGATAATTTATGCGGACAAGCCCCTCTACTGGTTATCACTCTATTTTCTATTTAACTTTTGGTCTTTTAGACTAAATTTAATGTATCTGATTAAAGAAAAGAAAAAGGAGAAACAACTGAGGCAGCTTTATTTTATTTGTCGGGACTGGGTCTTAGATTCTTTAACTCTTTAGCAAATTGCATGCGGGCCATTGTGTCTATATAAGCATCCTCTTTCGCTAATCTTTCCAAGCTCACTCTTCGCTTCTAATACCTGTGTTATCTTTGCTTCTCTTTCTCTCTTTCATTATACTTAGAGGGAGAGATACAGAAAAAAAGGCAAAAAATGTTGGAAATTGGGTTGGTTCTTGTAGCATTGTTTGTCATTTATTACACTCATTTGCTTATCAAATGGAAATACCCAAAAATTAATGGAGTTCGAGTTCAGTTGCCTCCTGGTTCTATGGGTCTACCTATCATCGGAGAGACCATTCAGTTGCTTATTCCAAGCTATAACTCTATAGATATCCACCCATTCGTCAGAAAACGAATCCAAAGGTAAGACGGAAAGTATTTATCATATATATGTTGGTCTACTTGGTCCCATGATCAGCTTTTTGTGCATACATAGAGTATAAATCCTTCATCAAAATTTATCTTCTCTCCGTCAGGCTATGCATGCCTGAGGTACTGAAAGTTTTGCTGCTTCTCTTTCATGTTTGTGATCATAATTGTTGGCGTGTGTGATAATTCTCAGCCTAAAATGCAAATTAGACCATGTGTATTTCTACAGGGTGCTTGCTAGAATTTTCATTTTTTTTTCTTTTTAAGAGTTACATCTCATCATTTAGATTATCATATCATATTTTCTGTTATCATTCTAGCAAGGTGTTCATAGTCTAGTTTTTGCACGGACGATTTAGGAGAGTTTGAAAATCACACTGCAAAACATGGTTAAATAAAACAAAACCACAAGCAATAAAAATATTTTCTGAAATATATTAAATAAGCTTATGAACTAATAAAAACTGTCGTCCTTTCTTCTAACATAAGTGATTTCGACGAGGTCGAAAAAAGGACATCAAGATGAAAATAGAACGCAACAGGTTGATGATGCATGCGTTGACTGGCAACAGTTCATTATTTTTAACTTTTTTTTTCGTTTCAGGCATGGACCTATTTTTCGGACTCATTTGGTTGGAAGACCGATCATAGTCTCAGCCGACCCTGAAGTCAACAAGTACATATTTTCTCAGGAAGGAAATTTAGTGGAGATGTGGTATTTGGACTCATTTGCCAAGTTATTTGCATTTGAAGGTGAATCCAAGGTTACTGCTATTGGTCGCGTCCACAGATACTTGAGAGGCATTACTCTGAATCACTTTGGTGGTGAGAGCCTTAGGGAAAAGATGCTTCCTCAAATTGAAGCCACAGTTAAAAATAACTTGTGCAAATGGTCCACTCAGAGATCTGTTGACGTTAAATCAGCTATTTCACGGGTAATTACCATTTTCATGACTTCAAGCCGCCATGAATTGAATAACATTGCAAATGGGTATTGAGATTTGTTGCAATTTGTGTAGAACATGAACGTTACAAATTTATCATATGGATGATGCTCTATATGGACCCCGTGCCATGTAGCATCGGTCCAATTCGGTATGCATTGAGATAGTAACGCCATTGATTAGATCCAAAGCACTCTAGAAAATCCCATACTTCTATAAAATTCTACTTATATTTATTTATTTATTATTGCTATTTATTTAAAATGATTATATAGGATGATATTTATTTATTTATTATTGCTATTTATTTAAAATGATTATATAGGATGTTTAGAAGACATAATTATCCTAACCAAAATATAGCTTTAATAGTTGTTGTTCTTCATGGCTCGAACTCAAAATCTCATTCATCAAGAGAGAGATGCAATTTGAATTACAAGGCTTAGCAAATATTTTCATTTTATTGTTGTTTTTGTTTTTGGATTAACTCGGCTTTCTGGCGTTTTGTAGATGATTTTCAACTTCACTGCGAAGGCTGCATTTGGCTATGACGTTGAAAACTCGACGGGGGAGAAAATTGAAAACTTGCCCAATTTCATTAAAAGCCTCATGTCTTTTCCCTTGAATATTCCTGGCACTACGTTTCACAAGTGTATGAAGGTAATGCGAGTAGTTGTTAGAATTTGAAATTTCTCTCGAAAAAGTCTCAAGTAAATTAATTAACACTATATGATTAATCATTCACTCAAATGATCATGGATATTAGTGAGTAAAATTTACTTGGAAAAATAATCATCACATGTCTCTTTATTTATCCAGGACAAAGAGAAGATGTCAAACATGGTGAGGCATATAATGAAGGAGAGATTTAATTCTCCGGATACACGTCCAGGAGATTTTCTTGATCAAGCTATTAATGATATGGCATCAGAGAAGTTCTTGACAGAGGATTTTATTGCCGAACTCGCTTTTGGGATTTTGTTTGCTGCCTTTGAATCTGTGTCCACAACGCTAACGCTAGCTATCAAGTTTCTAGCGGAAAACCCTCTAGTATTAGAAGAGTTGACGGTACGTATATAATAATGCTATCTATACAAACAAATAAACCATTGAAAATTTTTATACAGATCAATCAATTATTACTCACTTTATGTATGATCAATCATTTAATATTTTTGGATTCCATAGCTCACAAAATTAATAGCTATCACATTGTTATATAACTTTAGCGAAAAAAAAAATTTAATCATTTTTATTATTTTGAAAAAAATATTTAATGTTCTCACACTTTTTTTTTATTTTTAAATTTTTCAGGCAGAAAATGAGGCAGTTCTAAAGAAAAGAGAGAATCCAAATTCCTCACTGACATGGGAAGAATACAAAACAATGACTTTTACACAAAGCGTTAGTAACATAATCTCAATTTTTGAATTAATTTACCTAAACTTCAATTATTGAAATGTTCTTTATATCTAATTCTTTCTTGAATGTGATTTTTATTTATAGGTTATTAGCGAAACTCTTAGATTGATGAATATTCCACCTGGTTTGTTGCGAAAGGCTTTGAAAGATATTAATGTGAAAGGTATGCTACCTCTCATTGCAATATTTAATTTCTCTGTTTTTTTATTAATAAATCTTTGATTTGATTGATCGATTATTTTATGTTTACTAAAATTACAGGATACACAATTCCGGCTGGCTGGACTATAATGCTTGTTACGCCTATTGTTCACTTAAATCCTGAAACATACAAGGATCCTTTGAAGTTCAATCCATGGCGCTGGAAGGTGTGCCATTTAATCGTTAAAAACTTTCAGGATAAATATGAAAATTGGAAATTTATGTCCTTTCAAGAGCTTTGACTTTGTTGCGCACAAGTCCTGATTTGCTGATTTTTTATTTTAACTATTATTTAAATGGAACCTTTAGGACCTCGACCAAGTAACTCTTTCCAAGTCTTTCATGCCATTTGGTGGAGGTACGAGACAATGTGCTGGGGCAGAATTCAGTAAAGTGTACATGGCGTCCTTTCTCCATGTCCTGGTCACCAAATATAGGTAGCTTTGATTTTTCTATTACTGATGGTAATTTCATAGACGACCATATATAAGATGCTTATGCATATGGTTATGGTTATGGTTATGTGGCAGATGGACAAAGGTCAAAGGAGGACGCATCACTCGAAGTCCGATTTTATTATTTCCAGATGGTGTCCACATTCGGATTTCATCAAAACATAATTGAAGGCCAACGTTCGTGCGTCATATAGTTTTACTAAATAATATTTGGCTGTGGGTGCTTTGCTTTGTGCTAATAATAAATGATCTCTATGTCAGGACAAAAAAGGGTTCTTATTTTTTATTTAATCATTGTAGAAAACAAGGAAAAGCAAGACAGGAAAGGGGCCTGCCAAAAAAGACTTAGACCTTCTAATGTAATTACTGGAATTGTATTTCAATCTATATCACATGCCGTGTAGATTGGAAACTCCGTGTAGGTCCTATGTGCATCTTGTTTTTGTATCTTATGTCAATTTTGTTTTTCTCTCTTATTTATATGGCAGATACTTTTTATTTTGTAAGAGAAGTTTATTGGCCTTCCTGTCATTTTCATTTTAACTCGATTGAAAAACTCTATTTGTCGCTAACTCAACTCATAGCCTCTCTTTAAAAAAAAAAAAAAAAAAATTTAAGAATTCTATCTATGTAGCTATTTATGATGACAACAAATCCTTAATTTAATATATATTTTATTGTAATTTCGTATCACTGTTCTCTGCTTATTATGAAAAATATTTAATTTATTTATAATTGATTTCTTAAATTACAAAGAAATAAAATAGAAATTCAGATCATAAATGTTGTAATAATTCCTAGCTTAAAAAAATAAAAATAAAATATATTCCACAATAAGTAGAAGAAGATACTTATTTTGAGATTGAGGGAGTCTTTGGCATTTTGATAAAGCCGCACTCTATATCATGAAGACTTTTAAAAAACTATCGTTAACTCCATGAAGACTTTAAAACTTGAAAAATCATGTGATTGGATTAGATATAAGGTCCGCCAGCTTGACATTAATTCCTGTCATTTAATTCAATTTCCTATGTCTTGGCCATATATCTACAGGGGTAGTTTTTTCTAACAAAGTTTTCAAACTTTATCTTGTGAAGAACGGGGTAGATTATTAGTTTTTCTCTGTAACATGCTTCAAAAACGGAAAAATGCACATTTTGATAGGGGTGAGCAAATGGTTAAACGATTCGGTTAAGCTTAATTCGGTTCGGTTTTCGATTAACCAAGTTAAGAAAAATGAAAATTGAAACCGAACCAAATTAAATTCGGTTAATTCGATTTGTAACCGAATTATTTCGGTTCGGTATTGAAATAATGTGGTTTTAACCAAACTTTTGTTCTCGTGAAAAAAAACGTTGAACCAACGCGTGCTTACTCGGTTTGTAAATATGAAGTGTTTGCAACTATTTCATTTTTCGGAACCAATGCATGCTTTAATAAACTTGAATACTCATGATATCTTAAAAGCATCCTTACATAATAGTTGAACAAAAACTCAAGTTGGTAACTCGTGACATCTACTCAAATGGACATAAGCAAATTGGACGGTTTGAAGAAAGCCTTCGGACTTTCGTGTAGCAGCTATGAGGTCAAGTGATTGCTTGTTGCTAGTTGGGGATATGGATGATTAGCATTTCTACAACTATGATCAACAAAGAGGGTTCTTATATCGGGATTTTTCCTTGGATTTCCTCCGAGGGAATGCCGCCAATTCAAGTTGTCATATTCCATACCAAAGATCGAGTTTATTCTCTACTACTGACGAGGGTTGCTAGAAATTGCTCTTGATGGCTTTGGTGCAGCAACTATGAGCTCAATCAACATAATTGTTCTTGTTGACTTCGTATCTCTATAATTGGAAAGTGTATCATTTTCCCTGCATAGTGGTTCAAATTACATCCTAGTCACCAACTAAAATTGAAAAATCTTAATGTATCTTGCTCAAGCATACATACCTAAAATTATCCAATGTGAGCAACCGAGTAATTTCTTTAAGCAATCTTCATTACAAGAGGCAAAAACTTTCGGATCCTTTATCGGGATATCTACAACCTTGGTTCTTTAAATAACTCCATCCCTAACGACTAACATTCACATCCTCACGTGCTCTTTCCTTTCAACTCGATTCCATATTTCCATGCATCCATTTGCTTGCCTTATTGATTGTTTCTAAGCTTCCCGTTTCTTGCCCTCTACATGGTTTCATCATTGCCCTATTGATGTGTGGATCTCACTTGTTAGGACATAAACTCGTTAATTTGTTGCTTTCGGATTCGATTTCACCGTTGCATACATTTGCTTTTATTAACATTTAACGGTGAGGATATCACCATTTCTTTAGACAAATGCAAGCTGCTCGCTATGAAAAGCATGAATGATAGAATGACATGTCCCGATGGATTTTTTATATTTATGATGCTCATCTTTGATAGATCAAGCCGGTGTACACACTCTATATACTTGTCTATTTGCTTGTAATATTAATATTAATCATAGTATGCATTCCATTCGTGTTAATGCTTTAATTAAAAGAGAAACTTGCTCGGTTTTTGGTTATCAAGCATTCAAATAAGTGCAAGGATTTTAACTAAATCGACATCTTTGTATATTTTGCTTACATGAGATAAAACGGAACATAAGCAAGTCTGAAAGAATGCTCTAATGCAAGGATTAGTTCAATTATAATGATCATACATATGTGCAAATCATACAAAAAGCAAATCGGTTCAATTATATTGAATATTGATCATACATATGCTTTAATGCAAGGATCGGTTCGGACAAAAAACGAGAAAAAGCCGAAACAAACAAAGAAGCGAAAGAAGAAAACGAGAAAACAAGACATGAACAAATCTTCGACCCAGCTGAAACCACAAACCCGACTTGATAACGAGAACAACACAAATAAGTGCAGAATCACAAACTCTAGCAACCGGAGAGGAAAACGGATGCCAACAGGACACATTTCAAGACAAGGCTTCCAAGAAAGCACCACAATGCAGAACAAAGCATATAAGTTATCACAGACTTACAAAAGAATCTAAAAAACAACTTAATATATACCCAATACATTATTGTTATCACTTATCGGTAAAATAAAAAAAATAAAATAAAAGAGACTAACCTTAAAAGACACGAAGCTTGATGAAGGAAGACTGGAAGAGGATTGGAGCTTGGAACGTGGAGGATCGGAAGTACGGAAATTTGGAAGAGGAGTGGACTTACCGTCACCTGGAGTGGAGAGTGAAGAACAAGAGAAGAAGAGTGAGACTTTAAGAGTGCGAGAGTGAGACTGTGTCTATGAAAGGCCGAGAGTGAGAGTTGTGACTCGTGAGACGAGTGAGAGGTTGAGAGTCCGAGATTTGAGAGTGTGAGAGACGAGAACGAGAGTGATTGAGTTTGTCGACTTGCTCGCGTGATCGCATCTACGTCGAAAGGAAAGAAAAGTCGAAAGAGGCGGACTTAGGGTTAGATCTTATTCTTAGGGATTTAGAAATCGAATTAGGAATAAAAAAAAAGTTTTCGGTTCAAACTTGTTTCTTTAAAAAAAAAAAAACCAAACCAAAATTATTTTGGTTTTTTCGATTCGGTTATAAATAGTATATTTTTTAATTTATACCCAAATCAAATTTCATAATTCGATCCGATTTCATTTGGTTTTTTATTAATCGAATCGTTTGCTCACCTCTACATTTTGATCCCTAAAGTATACATTTTACTCAGCTGAGAGACATATTAACATGGCAGACTTTAAGGAAAGTGTCAATTAACTTAATTTGCAATAAATTATAATATTGCATATACATCGTATCTCCATAAATTTACATGTCAGCCAAATCAGTTGGAATCTATTTTTTTTCGTCCAATTAAAAAAAAAAAAAAAAAGTGCACGTAGAGTCCATAACTATCTTATTCTAAGCCCAACCAATCTCCCAAAAGCTAAACATCGCTAGGCCCGTTGCCCTTTCCAACCATTCATGTACATGTTATTAAATTTAGATGTCAGCCGACGCACATCACCTGCAAACCAAATCCAAAACCAAGAGAGGCCTTGTATCATCCAATTGGGTTCAATGCCATTTTTTTACCTCTACGCCATTCTTGGGGCACATTAAAGTCTGCCTTATCAATTTCATCAATTTTATCTTTAAATTATTATGTTTTGAATAAATATTGGCTTTTTATTTGATTTTACCGTTATCATTGTAAAAAATCTCTTTTAACAAATCAGTTTTTGGTATTTTGAGCTGAATTTTTTCATAAAATTCAATCCAATTTTAAAAATAATTTCAATTGTTTTTTTTTTTAAGTTGGAGATTGTTGTTTTTAATTTCTAAAAAATAAAAATTTAACAAATTATGAAAATAAAAAATAAGCTGAAATTATATCAATTATTTTTGCAAATCTCTAAAGTGGTCATATGAATTTACATATATAATTTTAGCATTATTCTCAAAATATTTATACATGTAATTTTTAAATTTAACTTATTCTCTATTTTGATTAGGTATTATGCATTAGAGAATACAAATATTTCGAAAATCATACTGGAACCTTGAATAGATAAATGTATATATAGATTTTTTAGGAATCCTAAAAAAATTGAGATCATTCCCAATCATTTTCTATTTTTTTTAATTTTGTAAATATTTAATATTTAAAAAAGTACTTCCTAATCTCAAATAATTTTTGAAAGTAAATTAGATTATTATTAGCTTATATAAAAAATTTCGGCTCAAAATATCAAATAATAATTAAAAAAAGAATTTAAATAAAAAAGGAATAATATTTGCCGTCAAGGACCAGTTGACGTCAAACAAGTTATTTCTTTTGTGAGTACACCATTTTCCGTCGATACACAAGTCATAATCAACAATTTTCTTGGTCTGTTTCTCATAAACTGTCTTTTCTGGCTGTAAATGGTTTTCAATTTTAATGCAAACAAAATATTTGGTTATGACGCTGAAAACTCTAAAGAGAAGCTCAGTGAGAATTACACAAGGATCCTGAACAGTTTCATCTCCTTGCCCTTGAAGATCCCTGGCACTTCATTCCACAAGTGCATGCAGGTAAACAGAGTAGTCCCTCAACTTTGAAAATTGTTCTTTTTCTGGTAATCACTACTCAGGAATGATCAATCAATAATGATATATGATCTTTCTATTGATTCAGGACCGAGAGAAGATGTTGAAAATGTTGAAGGATACCCTGATGGAGAGACTCGCCGATCCATCAAAGCGTCGGGGAGGTTTTCTTGATCAAGCCATTGATGATATGAAGACAGAGAAGTTCTTGACAGTAGATTTCATCCCCCAACTCTAACCCTTACACTCAAGTTTCTTTCGGAGAACCCTCAAGTAGTTGAGGAATGAACAGTATGTATCCGAATCCATTATTAAAGTTCTAAGCTGTCAAATTGATAATGCCATTCTGTTCACAGTATTGGCGCTAAATGTTGTCATTAATCAGGCTGAACATGAAGCAATTCTGAGGAAAAGAAAAATCCAAACTCCCGCCTCACATGGGAGGAGTACCGATCCATGACGTTTACATGAATGATTAGTTTCTACATTCTTAAATATAAATCATGTTTCTCATTTTTGTTGCATGATGATCTTATATTCTTAATTAGGGAATGTGGTCAATCGTTCATATAGGTTGTCAATGAAACGCTTAGAATTTCCAACGTTTCAACTGGTATATTCCGAAAAGTGTTGAAAGATTTTAAATTCAAAGGTGTGTTACCAATTCGTATTTTAAAATCTCATTGCTAATTTCTTACATTCAATTCAATTGATTGTTTGAGAAATTTCCAAGATATACTGTTCCAGCTGGCTGGACAGTAATACTGGCTACCCCTGCTATTCAGTTGAATCCAGAAACATTCAAGGATCCACTCACATTCAATCCATGTCGTTGGAAGGTAGGCAATTTTACGATTCCAGAACCTTATTAGGGAGAGATTAAATTGATATAATATTAAAAACATCATTCCTTCCAGTCCTTTTATTGTTTGTCCAATGGTACGTAGGACCTTGATCAAGTAACTATTTACAAGAATTTCATGCCATTCGGTGGCGACACGAGACAATGTTCCGGAGCAGAGTACAGCAAACTGACGGTGTCTATTTTTCTGCATGTCTTGGTCACCAAATATAGGTAGATTTGATATTTCTTTCTTTTGATACTCTTCAGTGGCAACAGGGAACAAAATTTTATATGAAGAGATCTTCTCTTAACTGTTTGGATTGATTTATGCCAGGTTTACTAAAGTCAAGGGAGGAGATTTATCTCGCACTCCTGTCATATCATTTGGTGATGGCATCTACTCTAAGTTTACAGCCAAACCATAAATGAGAATCTTTTTCCCCTTTTCCTCTGGAAGTTTATGGCCAAATAGTTTGTCGTACCGGTTTATAGTAACTAGTCATTTATCCATATATACGTCGCTAAAGGTTGGAAGACCCTGCGACTACTAAGTTAGTCTAAGTTAGCTACTGAGAGAGAAAATGCCTTAATGGGCTACAGTCTTTATGTGTTATGCATGAGAGATGATAAATGATATACTCATCAGTTAGAGAAACATAAAGTAGAACCTTTAACAAAAGAGATTACAATCAAGCTAACAAGTCATTAGAGCTATGCGGATTAGACTTAACCAAGAATCAACTACAAAATTCCTTTCTCCAAGAACATGAGTGAAAGTGACAAATTTTAATCACACGATCATATTAGAGGTGGCATTAAAATTACTCAGAAGCTTCCAGAGCTGCCTATACAAACAAGTAAACCTTTGAAAATTTTTATACCGATTAATCAATTAGTACTCACTTTATGTATGATCAATCATCTAATATTTTTGGATTCCATAGCTCACAAAGCTAATAGCTATCACATTGTTATAGAACTTTAGCAAAAACAAATTTAAAATCATTTTTATTATTTTGAAAAAAATATATTTAATTTCCTCAAACTTTTATGTTTTATTTTTATATTTTTCAGACAGAGAATGAGGCAGTTTTAAAGAAAAAAGAGAATTCGGATTTCCCACTAACATGAGAAGAATACAAAACAATAACTTTTACACATAGCGTTAGTATCATAAAAAAAAAAAAAAAAAAAAGAATCCTGAACTTCAATTATTGAAATGTTTTTTATATCTTCTTTCTTGAATGCGATTTTTATTTACAGGTTGTTAACGAGAATATTTCTCCTGGTTTGTTGCGAAAGGTTTTAAAAGATATTAACGTGAAAGGTATGCTACCTCTCATCGCAATCTTTAATTCCTCTGTTTTTCATTACTAAATATTTGATTTGATTGATCGATCATTTTATGTTTACTTAAATTCCAGGATACACAATTCCGGCTGGCTGGACTATAATGCTTGTTACGCCTATTGTTCACTCAAATCCTGAAACATACAAGGATCCTTTGAAGTTCAATCCATGGCGCTGGAAGGTGTGCCATTTAATCATTAAAAACTTTCAAGATAAATATGAAAATTGGAAATTTATGTCCTTTCTAGAGCTTTGACTATGTTGCGCACAAGTCCTGATTTGCTGATTTTTTATTTTAACTATTATTCAAATGGAACCTTTAGGACCTCGACCAAGTAACTCTTTCCAAGCCTTTCATGCCATTTGGTGGAGGTACGAGACAATGTGCTGGGGCAGAATTCAGTAAAGTGTACATGGCGTCCTTTCTCCGTGTCCTGGTCACCGAATATAACTTTGATTTTTCTATTACTAATGGTGATTTCATAGACGACCATGGGGAAAAATATAAGATGCTTATGCATATGGTTATGTATCCAAACAATAGCAATAACTGAGTCGGATTCTACAATCTAGTTGATTTGAAGAGATAAAGGTGAAATAGCACTGATTCCCAAACTTTCTGAATAGCTAACACATCTACTTCATTTGAAACTTTGATCTCAGCAAGAATGGAGAAAGTAAATAAAGTGAAAGCTTTTTTCAGGAAGAAAAAAATTAATAGATTTAATGAACTTTATTTATTTATTTATAGGCAAACATGTGGTCAAAAAAAAAAAAAATCTCTCTTAGAAAATGGAGGAAAAATATTTTTAATGTAAAAAAGATTAAGAGCAAAAAAAATTAACGGTCAATTGGGTTGGCCGTTACAATTAACGAAAATATATAAAATTTGCCTAAAAATTGATATTTTATGTCAAATTACGTAAATTAGTAATAAAAATCTAAAATTATTAAGTTATAGTTGTAACCCCCGTGGAAATACTTAACGGTAAAACAAAACGCATTCAAGTATTTATATATATGTATATAAGAAGTATATGTATAATTCTCATTACATCATGAGAAATTAACTCTTGAAATGTGTGATTTATGTTAAATTGAAGTAATTGTGCTTAAGATTAATGGTTTCGAGTCTTAAAGGAATCAAATATGCAAAATCCATGATTTGAGGACTATATTCTGTCTGCATTTTGTGTGATTTATTAAAGGGCTTTAGATTGATTTATGGGTAAAATGCAAAGAATAAAAGTTGTTCATCTATGTGTCTACTAGCCCTCTATAAAATTTTGTGATTTTTAGATCTTTATATAAAAAGTTATTTTCGTTTTAGTATAGCTTGTTCATGAGGTAACATTGCTGGAATTGTTTTTTTTTTTTTTGAAAACGAATTTTCGAGTTTTCAAAAGGGAAATTTTTGAGTTTTTATGAAAGAAATTATGTCTAATTACATGAACTCAGCTCATTAATATGTTTATTTAACCTAATTTTTCTTTAGCCACCTAAGCACTTGAATTAAATGCTTGAAAGCCAATTCATCACCTTTGACTTTCAAAAAAAAAAAAAAATGCCAGCTTGCTCGCCAAACCTTTCCTTTACTTTATACTTGGCCAATTTCTCTTTGGACGTGTGGCATACTTAATAAGGCTGGAAAATGGAGTATATATATAAGGGAAAGATGAACTCTAGTCATTTTTGGGAGTGAACCCGTAGCCACCGGAATAAGGAGAGAAACAAATGTAAGGAAGAGAGGAAGAGAAAAAGAAAAGAAAAAAAATGAAGAAATGAAAGAAAGAAAAGGAAAAGCTTAACCAACCTTTAGGAAATTCAAACAATATAAGTAGGTTTATTTTCATACTTTTAGTTCTCCTTTTAAGGTGTTTAAGATGTGTGTTGGTTGTATTAGTTGGTGTATTGTAAGCTTGGTTTTTGTTGGTGGACCTATGATATATTGGTTTGATCTATGTGTGGATGTTGCGTTTGTGATGTTTTATGATAATTATAATGTTTGATGGATGTCCAAGTATGTCTAAGTATGTGATGAAGAGTTGGATTGGACTTGGATTGAAATTTAATAGGACTAAAACATGGTTATTGTGAATTGGAATGAATGGTTAGATCAGTGTTATTGAGGAGTAGTTTTTGTCCGATTTTTGTATTGCCTATTCAAGGATTTTAGAATGATTTACGGGAAAAACTTGAAACATAAAAGTTGTTTACCCATGTCTTAAATAACTTCCTATAAAATATTTTCATTATTAGGTTTATGTAAAAAAAGTTATATCCGTTTTAGTACATATTGTTTCGGATAAACCATCGTTGGCCAGATCAATCCTTCAATTTCAAAATTATGTTATGAAGTGTGTGTTTGGTATTTAAACCTAATTTTCGGATATGTTATGAATCAATATGTCTAGTATCTAATAAAAAAAGGATAGGATTTAATTATTCTAAAAAATTAATACGTTACGTACTTGATTAGAGGTTGTCCTATAATAAACCCTAAATTGAAAAGGAGGGAAAATGAATTCTTAGGGTTTTCACTAAATAATCCTTTTGGCCTAAATAAGAAAATGATTAAAATCAGAAATAATGAATAGACATAAATAGGAATAAAATGAAGTTTAGAGAGGGTAAGATTACAAAAAAAAAAAAAAATCCGAGCGTAAACTTGCTAGGTACACAAGAAGAAAAAAACTAGTAATTATGAAATAAATTTATGCAATGAATGCTACCCATGAATGAAAATTGTATTCTCATTTTGAATACTTTAGATGGTACATAAAACACCCGTGAAGTCCCGAGAGTGCGTTGGACACGGGAAGGGTCCGAGAAAAAAATGTGATAGCATAATTAGTTGAATGTGTTAAATATAATACCATATGCATCACATGCATTCGGGGGTGATATGAAATTGGAAAAAATAATTGAGTTATGAAATAATGCGTTTTGGTAACCGATTTTCAAAGGAATGAGTAATAGTATAAATCTATGTGCGTGCTCTATTACTAACACTATTAAGTGAGGTATAATTTCGCTAATTGTGTGCTACGACGAGGGATAATTCCGTTGTAAGTAGTAGGTGATAATGAGATCACCGAGAGAGAGTAATAGAGCGAGTAGGTGATAATGCGATCACCGAGAGATGAAACGCACGGATTTACTAATACTTAGGGTACCCAAATTAAAAATGGATGGGTAGAATGAGAAACAAAACTTCATTGCATATCACGTGCATCACCCTACTTACCGAGCTTCGGGTCACCTCGTTGTTATTTGCATGTTATGACAGGAACAACTCAAAGTAGTAAGGATGCTATCGGATCCTCTAAAAGGGCTCAAGGATGACATAAACTTTAAGGGATTTCGTTTGTTGTAATTTTGGGGTTGGAGTGTTAATAAATATTTTGATGGTATTGTAATTAAATTTTGTAATTCTGTTCACTTGTTTTGTTAATAGCATGTAAATTATCTTGATCGCATTTCATTGTATGATAAGTCCTTAACGTATGAGCACGTATGTGTTTAAGGTTAATTTGAAAATTAGTTGTATCAGCATGTCGCACCTCGCCTAGTTACTCCTATTTGGGTAATAGAGAGTGAACAGAGGTGGAGGCGTCACAATAGTAAAATAAGGACAATTTTTGCCGTAAAATCGAATCAAAATCTTATCATGTTGAGGATAATATGAGCACTCAACACCACGTAAATGCTCTTTTTTTTAGTATAGAATTTAGAAATATAAGTACACTTGTCATATACGATATAAAAAAACCTATTTACTCAAAGGATTTTTTTTCAATATTTTTTACAACATACTCTCATTAAATAGCAAGAATTAAAGTGCAAAAAAGTTATATAAAGAAGGCTAAATGGTCCAAATTTTTTATTTTTAACTTAAGTCATTAAGAATCAATTATCCATTTTTTCAATTTCTAATTAGATTTTTTCTTCAACCATTTTTTATTTAAAATTAAATCATTTTATGAGGTTTTCGTCCATTTTAATATACAAATGTAGTTTTTCAATAGCTAAAAATATGTCAAAATTTATGGATACTTCACTTTTCCTTCCAAAACTTATTTATTCCCTCCTAAAGGCTTAGGGGTTAGCAATTAAAAAATATTTTAAAAAGAAAAAAATCAATTTTTCTGAAAAAAACAAAGTATTCATAAATTTTGACACATTTTTATCTATTAAGAAAGTTAAAAATTCAATTACACGCAAATCATGCGTATTTAAACAATTAGAATTAACGAAAACCTAAATGGAAAAATACTATTTTAAATGAAAAATAGTTAAAGGTAGACTCATTCCAAATTAGAAGTTAAATGATTTATTTTCCAACGACTTAAATTTTAATAGACGATTTTTCAATTATCCTATAAATAATATACATGTAGTATATATAGAGGATATAGATGTAGATCCATTGAAGGTGACTGGTATAGTGATTTCAAGTAATGATTATTTTACTCTTTTTTTTGTCACAAAAAAATTAATAAATTGTTTTTTACTATATAATTCAGCTACATAAATTACAATAAATTTACCTGATCAGATAATAAGTCACAGAAGAAAAAAACCTTGAAAGTATGACTCGAAAAATTTTATATTATTCCAAAAATAATGACAAAAAAAGAAGAGAGAAAATTAAAAAAATAAATTTGAATATAGATGAAAATATTTTTATTATTTTTTATGAGTCCTGAAGTTTTTTTTCTTTTATCTATTTTTTTCTAAAAAATGGATTTATAAAATAATTATTGTAAGTATACGGTAACAACTATTTAATTATTATAAATTTTTTCAGTATGGCCCTTTCTTCGCAAGTAGAGTGCGGATTAAAGACGAAAAATGTTTATTTTAACAGTGGTCAAAAATCTGATAGTGTCAAAGCGAAATGTATCCAAGGATAATTTATGCGGACAAGCCCCTCTACTAGTTATCACTCTATTTTCTATTTAACTTTTGGTCCTTTAGACTAAATTTAATGTATCTGATTAAAGAAAAGGAAAAGGAGAAACAACTGAGGCAGCTTTATTTTATTTGTCGGGATTGGGTCTTAGATTCTTTAACTCTTTAGCAGATTGCATGCGGGTCATTGTGTCTATATAAGCATCCTCTTTCGCTAATCTTTCCAAGCTCACTCTTCGCTTCTAATACCTGTGTTATCTTTGCTTCTCTTTCTCTCTTTCATTATACTTAGAGGGAGAGATACAGAAAAAAAGGCAAAAAATGTTGGAAATTGGGTTGGTTCTTGTAGCATTGTTTGTCATTTATTACACTCATTTGCTTATCAAATGGAAATACCCAAAAATTAATGGAGTTCGAGTTCAGTTGCCTCCTGGTTCTATGGGTCTACCTATCATCGGAGAGACCATTCAGTTGCTTATTCCAAGCTATAACTCTATAGATATCCACCCATTCGTCAGAAAACGAATCCAAAGGTAAGACGGAAAGTATTTATCATATATATGTTGGTCTACTTGGTCCCATGATCAGCTTTTTGTGCATACATAGAGTATAAATCCTTCATCAAAATTTATCTTCTCTCCGTCAGGCTATGCATGCCTGAGGTACTGGAAGTTTTGCTGCTTCTCTTTCATGTTTGTGATCATAATTGTTGGCGTGTGTGATTATTCTCAGCCTAAAATGCAAATTAGACCATGTGTATTTCTACAGGGTGCTTGCTAGAATTTTCATTTTTTTTTCTTTTTAAGAGTTACATCTCATCATTTAGATTATCATATCATATTTTCTGTTATCATTCTAGCAAGGTGTTCATAGTCTAGTTTTTGCACGGACGATTTAGGAGAGTTTGAAAATCACACTGCAAAACATGGTTAAATAAAACAAAACCACAAGCAATAAAAATATTTTCTGAAATATATTAAATAAGCTTATGAACTAATAAAAACTGTCGTCCTTTCTTCTAACATAAGTGATTTCGACGAGGTCGAAAAAAGGACATCAAGATGAAAATAGAACGCAACAGGTTGATGATGCATGCGTTGACCGGCAACAGTTCATTATTTTTAACATTTTTTTTTCGTTTCAGGCATGGACCTATTTTTCGGACTCATTTGGTTGGAAGACCGATCATAGTCTCAGCCGACCCTGAAGTCAACAAGTACATATTTTCTCAGGAAGGAAATTTAGTGGAGATGTGGTATTTGGACTCATTTGCCAAGTTATTTGCATTTGAAGGTGAATCCAAGGTTACTGCTATTGGTCGCGTCCACAGATACTTGCGAGGCATTACTCTGAATCACTTTGGTGGTGAGAGCCTTAGGGAAAAGATGCTTCCTCAAATTGAAGCCACAGTTAAAAATAACTTGTGCAAATGGTCCACTCAGAGATCTGTTGACGTTAAATCAGCTATTTCACGGGTAATTACCATTTTCATGACTTCAAGCCGCCATGAATTGAATAACATTGCAAATGGGTATTGAGATTTGCTGCAATTTGTGTAGAACATGAACGTTACAAATTTATCATATGGATGATGCTCTATATGGACCCCGTGCCATGTAGCATCGGTCCAATTTCGGTATGCATGGAGATAATAACGCCATTGATTAAATCCAAAAGCACTCTAGAAAATCCCATACTTCTATAAAATTCTACTTATATTTATTTATTTATTATTGCTACTTATTTAAAATGATTATATAGGATGATATTTATTTATTTATTATTGCTATTTATTTAAAATGATTATATAGGATGTTTAGAAGACATAATTATCCTAACCAAAATATAGCTTTAATAGTTGTTGTTCTTCATGGCTCGAACTCAAAATCTCATTCATCAAGAGAGATATGCAATTTGAATTACAAGGCTTAGCAAATATTTTCATTTTATTGTTGTTTTTGTTTTTGGATTAACTCGGCTTTCTGGCGTTTTGTAGATGATTTTCAACTTCACTGCGAAGGCTGCATTTGGCTATGACGTTGAAAACTCGACGGGGGAGAAAATTGAAAACTTGCCCAATTTCATTAAAAGCCTCATGTCTTTTCCCTTGAATATTCCTGGCACTACGTTTCACAAGTGTATGAAGGTAATGCGAGTAGTTGTTAGAATTTGAAATTTCTCTCGAAAACGTCTCAAGTAAATTAATTAACACTATATGATTAATCATTCACTCAAATGATCATGGATATTTAGTGAGTAAAATTTACTTGGAAAAATAATCATCACATGTCTCTTTATTTATCCAGGACAAAGAGAAGATGTCAAACATGGTGAGGCATATAATGAAGGAGAGATTTAATTCTCCGGATACACGTCCAGGAGATTTTCTTGATCAAGCTATTAATGATATGGCATCAGAGAAGTTCTTGACAGAGGATTTTATTGCCGAACTCGCTTTTGGGATTTTGTTTGCTGCCTTTGAATCTGTGTCCACAACGCTAACACTAGCTATCAAGTTTCTAGCGGAAAACCCTCTAGTGTTAGAAGAGTTGACGGTACGTATCTAATAATGCTATCTATACAAACAAATAAACCATTGAAAATTTTTATACAGATCAATCAATTATTACTCACTTTATGTATGATCAATCATTTAATATTTTTGGATTCCATAGCTCACAAAATTAATAGCTATCACATTGTTATATAACTTTAGCGAAAAAAAAATTTTAATCATTTTTATTATTTTGAAAAAAATATTTAATGTTCTCACACTTTTTTTTTTATTTTTAAATTTTTCAGGCAGAGAATGAGGCAGTTCTAAAGAAAAGAGAGAATCCGGATTCCCCATTGACATGGAAAGAATACAAAACAATGACTTTTACACAGAATGTTAGTATCTCAATTTTTGAATTAATCTACCTAAACTTCAATTATTGAAATATTCTTTCTATCTAATTCTTTCTTGAATGTGATTTTTATTTATAGGTTATTAGCGAAACTCTTAGATTGATGAATATTCCACCTGGTTTGTTGCGAAAGGCTTTGAAAGATATTAATGTGAAAGGTATGCTACCTCTTATTGTAATCTTTAATTTCTCTTCTTTTTTTCATTAATAAATCTTTGATTTGATTGATCGATCATTTTATGTTTACTTAAATTCCAGGATACACAATTCCGGCTGGCTGGACAATAATGCTTGTTACGCCCATTGTTCACTTAAATCCTGAAACATACAAGGATCCCTTGAAGTTCAATCCATGGCGCTGGAAGGTGTGCCATTTAATCGTTAAAAACTTTCAGGATAAATATGAAAATTGGAAATTTATGTCCTTTCAAGAGCTTTGACTTTGTTGCGCACAAGTCCTGATTTGCTGATTTTTTATTTTAACTATTATTTCAATGGAACCTTTAGGACCTCGACCAAGTAACTCTTTCCAAGTCTTTCATGCCATTTGGTGGAGGTACGAGACAATGTGCTGGGGCAGAATTCAGTAAAGTGTACATGGCGTCCTTTCTCCATGTCCTGGTCACCAAATATAGGTAGCTTTGATTTTTCTATTACTAATGGTAATTTCACAGACGACCATATATAATATGCTTATGCATATGGTTATGGTTATGGTTATGGTGGCAGATGGACAAAGGTCAAAGGAGGACGCATCACTCGAAGTCCGATTTTATTGTTTCCAGATGGTGTCCACATTCAGATTTCAGCAAAACGTAATTGAAGGCCAACGTTCGTGCGTCATATAGTTTTACTAAATAATATTTGGCTGTGGGTGCTTTTTTTGTGCTAATAATAAATGATCTCTATGTCAGGACAAAAAGGGTTCCTGTTTTTTATTTAATCATTGTAGAAAACAAGGAAAAGCAAGACAGGAAACAGGCCTGCCAAAAAGACCTAGACTTTCTAATGTAATTACTGGAATTATATTTCAATCTATATCACATGCCGTGTAGATTGGAAACTCCATATAGGTCCTATGTGCATCCTGATTTTGTATCTTATTAGTTTTTATGCCCGTGATATGTTTGAATAAAATATATAAAATTATTTTAGAAAAATTATTTTAATTTGATGATCTGTTTTATAATATGAATTTATTAAAATATATAAAATCAAAATTATAAAAAATTATTTAATCAAAAACTTTCTATTTAATTATTTTTTATTTGTTGTTTTTTATAATTTTTCCTTTAGAAAAAGGATTCATCCTTGTTAATCCATAGATTATTAACAAAAAAAATTAAATAATTTTTTTTAAAAAAAGCTTTGGTATTTCATAAGATTGTGTCAAAAAACATAAATAACAATTATTAAAAGCTTACGTAGAATTGAACAAATAATTTTTTTTATTTAATGTTGATGAGAATATCGGTTTGTGAAAAAATATGAATTTAATTTTTATATATTTATTTATAAAAGAATAAAAAATAGTAAAATAAAAAACTATATTAATTTGAATTATTGAATGATTAAGAAAAAACATTATTTTTATTATTTAATTTAAAATAAGTTAATTTTAAAATATTAAAAAAATAAATAGTAAATGCTTATTATAGTAGTAGTTACACAGTTGATTTCGAAAAAATAACGATTCAATATTTTTTTATACATCATAACTATACTAAACGAGTTTAGAGGTTTCGATCTAAAACAAAAAATATTATAAAAAGTTAACTTGCAAGGAATATATTGACTAAATTTGAAGTTGATAGACTCAAATAAAAATTATTACAAATTTGATTCTGAATAATTTTGATTATATAAAGAATAAACAAATTAATAAAATATGTAATTTTTTTTCTGGTTCTTAAATATTTTTTTATTTCTATACCATGCATGACTAGTCCTTGAATATAGGCCTCACGCACAGAGTAATCATCTTTTTTTTATTTTTCACATTTGAATTTCAACTATAAATTAATTAATTTGAGGTTTTTCTAAAAAAAACTAAGAAAAAATTCTTTGAAATACACTTTTAATCAAAAAATGTATTTTAGACAAATTATATATATTAATCATGCTACTATAATGTAAAAGTTATCTAAATCTATTTTTCAAAAGACAAACTAATCATGTTCTAAAAATTTATTTCAAAATCTATACATATAGAAAACTAAATCAAAACTCGTAAGTAAATATAATTTTCAATTAATTGGATGAGAATTTTTTTAAAGAATGACAAATTAAAGTAGTAAATTTTAAATAATAAAAATAATTAACAAAAAACACTAAAACAAAATGGGATGAAATCACAATATAATCAAAGTTTAAAATTGAAAAAAAAAAATTTTTAAAAATGACAAATTAATGTAGTAAATTTTAAATAATAAAAAAATTGAGAAAATTATTTGAAAAACACTTTTAATCTAGAAATGTATTTCAGACAAATTATATATATTAATCATGCCACTATAATTTAAAAGTATCTAAATCTATTTTTCAAAAAAAATAATAATCATGTTTTAAAAATTTATTCCAAAATCCATACATATAGAAAAATAAATCAACACTCGTTAGTAAATATGATTTTAAATTAACTAGATAAGAATTTTTTTAAAATGACAAATTAAAGTAGTAAATTTAAAATAATAAAAATAATTAACAAAAAATACTAAAAAAATCGGACGGAATTACAATATAATCAAAGTTTGAAATTGAAAAAAAAAGAATTTAAAAAAATGAAAAATTAATGTAGTCAATTTTAAATAATATAAAAAACTGAAAAAAATTATTTGAAATACACTTTTAATCTAAAAATATATTTTAGATAAATTATATATATTAATCATGCCACTATAATTTAAAAACGATCTAAATCTATTTTTCAAAAAAAAAAAAAGCATGTTCCAAAATTTTATTATAAAATCTATACATATAGAAAAGTAAATCAAAACTATTAGAAAATATAATTTTAAATTAATTGAATGAGGATTTTTTTAAAAAAATGACAAATTGAAATAGTAAATTTTAAATAAGAAAATAATTAACAAAAACACTAAAATAAAATATGATCAAATCACAATATAATTAAATTTTGAAATTGAAAAAAAAAGAATTTTTTTTTAAAAAAGACAAATTAAAGTATTAAATTTTAAATAATAAAAATAATTAACAGAAAGCATTAAAACAAAATGAGACCAAATCACAATATAATTAAAGTTTGAAATTGAAAAAAAAAAGTTTAGAAAATTTGAGGACCAAAATGTTAAAAAATTGATATGAACGAGTGAAAGAAATTGTGATTTGTGAGTGTATAAATAACGTTTTAAATAGTAAAAATATATTTTACTTTAGTTTGTTTTATAATGTCAATTTTGTTTTTCTCTCTTATTTAGATGGGCAGATACTTTTTATTTGGTAAGAGAAGTTTATTGGCCTTCTTGCCATTTTCATTTTAACTCGATTGAAAAACTCTGTTTGTCGCTAACTCAACTCATAGGCTCTCTATATAAAAAAGAATAAAATTAAGAATTCTATCTATGTAGCTATTTATAATGACAACAAAACCTTAATTTAATATATATTTTTTATTGTAGTTTCGTATAACTCGTTACGTGCTTATTATGAAAATTATTTAATTTATTTATAACTAATATCTTAAATTATAAAAAAATAAAAATGGAAATTCAGATCATAAATGTTGTAATAATTCCTAGCTTAAAAAATAAAAATAAAATATATTCCTCAATAATTAGAAGAAGATACTTATTTTGAGATTGAGTGAGTCTTTGGCATTTTGATAAAGCCGCACTCTAGATCAGGAAGACGTTAAAAAACTATTGTTAACTCCATGAAGACTTTAAATTAACTTGAAAAATCATGTGATTGGATTAGATCTAAGGTCAGCCAGCTTAACATTAATTCATGTCATTTAATTCCATTTCCCTTCGCTCTATATCTTGCCCATATATCTACAAAGGTAGTTTTTTATAACAAAGTTTTCAAACTTTATCTTGTGAAGAACGAGGTAGATTATTAGTTTTTTCTGTAACGTGCTTCAAAAGTGGAAAAGGGCACATTTTGATCCCTAAACTATACATTTTACTCAGCTGAGATACATATTAACATGGCAGACTTTGAGCAAAGTGTCAATTAACTTAATTTGCAATAAATTGTAATATTGCATATACATCGTATCTCCATAAATTTACATGTCAGCCAAATCAGCTGGAATATATTTTTTATCGTCCAATTGAAAAAAAAAAAAGTGCACGTAGAGTCCGTAACTAGCTTATTCTAAGCCCAACCAATCTCCCAAAAGCTAAACATTGCTAGGCCCGTTGCCCTTTCCAACCCTTCACGTACATGTTATTCAATTTAGATGTCAGCCAATACGCACCCCCTGCAAACCAAATCCAAAACCAAGAGAGGCCTTGCATCATCCAATTGGGTTCAATGCCATTTTTTACCTCTACGCCATTCTTGGGGCACATTAAAGTCTGCCTTATCAATTTCATCAATTTTATCTTTAAATTATTATGCTTTGAATGAATATTGGCTTTTTATTTGATTTTACCGTTATCATTGTAAAAAATCTCTTTTAACAAATCAGTTTTTGGTATTTTGAGCTGAATTTTTTCATAAAATTCAATCCAATTTTAAAAATAATTTCAATTGTTTTTTTTTTTTTAAGTTGGATATTGTTGTTTTTAATTTCTAAAAAATAAAAATTTAACAAATTATGAAAATAAAAAATAAACTGAAATTATATCAATTATTTTTACAAATCTCTAAAGTGGTCATATGAATTTACATATATAATTTTAACATTATTCTCAAAATATTTATACATGTAATTTTTAAATTTAACTTATTCTCTATTTTGATTAGGTATTATGCATTAGAGAATACAAATATTTCGAAAATCATACTGGAACGTTGATTAGATAAATGTATATATAGATTTTTTTAGGAATCCTAAAAAAGTTGAGATCATTCCCAATCATTTTCTATTTTTTTTTTAATTTTGTAAATATTTAATATTAAAAAAAGTACTTCCTAATCTCAAATAATTTTTGAAAGTAAATTAGATTATTATTAGCTTATATAAAAAATTTCAGCTCAAAATATCAAATAATAATTTAACAAAAAAAGAATTTAAATAAAAAAAATCATATTTGCCCAGAACATGATAATTTAAGTAAAAAAATCTACGAAATTGATAATGCAAACTTCAATGTGCAGCGATTTTGGTATTTCAAAGTTAAAAAATGCAATTGAACCGTATCCAATTGTGCATTAAAAAAAAAACAGTAGTTTCTTCTTTCTTGTAGCGGTGGTAGGGGTAGTAGTTCATGTAAGCTGGACTAAAGAAGCAGAATTTTTGTTAACCTCCTCTTCTGGGCAATCCGAGACGATGGATGAAATCCGGTCAAGGAAATTAAAAGACAATTTGGCCAATTTCAAGAAAAGGGTCTAGTTATGTCGCCCTTCTAATACCTATAATAAACGAATGGTCAAGAAAGAAGCCACAATTTTGATGAATTGCAGCAAGAACCCAAATCTTCTGAAAGAAAATGGTGTTGGGGGCTCTCCATATCCCTAGCCTAACATAAGGGGACACGAAGGGTCGTGACTCGTGTGCAGTAAGCAACATTGAAGTTTCTTTCTTGTCTTCATATTATGGTCATCTTATCCTTATGACAAAAACTAAAGTTTTAGATTATGGATAAAAAGGCATCTTTCTTTCTCTTTCTTACATCAATTTACCTGCAAAGACCTTTAGAAGATGTGGACAATTGGATTGCTTGTTGTAGCATTGGTTGTCATTTACTACATTAATTTGATTAGCAAATGGAGAAATCCTAAAATTGGTGGAGTTCTTCCTCCAGGTTCCATGGGCTGGCCCCTCATTGGAGAGACCCTTCAGTTCATTTTTTGTGGAAAAGATCCAGACCTTCACCCATTCATCAAGAAAAGAATGCAAAAGTAATATGCTATCTAGCACACTTTGTATGAAATTAAAAAACAAGGGTTTATATGTAGATTTAAATCGCACTTGCCAGCTTTATTCACTAGTAGTGAATTAATGCTAATTTCCTTGTTTCAGGTATGGGTCGATTTTTAAAACCAGTTTACTTGGAAGACCTACCGTAATATCCACTGACAGTGAAATGAACGAGTACATCATGCAACGGGAAGGAACTTTGGTTGAGCTATAGTATTTGGATTCATTTGCCAAGGTTTTCGCACTTGAGGGTGAAAACAGGATAAACGCTATCGGTAAAGTTCATACATACATAAGAAGCATTGTTATGAACCACTTTGGTGTTGAGAGGCTTAAGGAATCATTCTTTCCTAAAATCGAAGACATACTTCCCGCCAACTTGGCAAAGTGGGCTACTCAAGGACCAGTTGACATCAAACAAGTTATTTCGGTTATGAGTACACCGTTTTCAGTTTATACGCTAACAATGACAGTAAACATTTTGTTTCGTGTCTGCTCCTGATAACCTACCTTCTCTAGCTGTAGATGGTTTTCAATTTCACTGCAAACAAAATACTATTCGGATATGATGATGAAAACACAAAAGACAAGCTAAGTGATAATTACCTAAGGATCTTGGACGTTTTAACATCCTTTCCCTTGAATATCCCTGTTACTTAATTCCACTGGTGCATGCAGGTAAAGAGAGTTTGTCCCTCAAACTTGAATTTTTTTATTTAATTGCTACTCATCAGGAAGAATCCATAAAGAACATATCTTTCTATTGATTCAGGACCGAGAGAAGGTGTTGAAAATGTTGAAGGATAAATTGATGGAGAGAATTAAGGATCCATCAAAGCGTCGGGGAGATTTTCTTGATTAAGCCATTGAAGATATGGAGGCTGAGAAGTTCTTGACTGTGGATTTCATCCCCCAACTCATGTTCGGGATCTTATTTGCCAGCTTCGAAACTATGTCAACCACTCTAACCCTTACACTCAAGTTTCTTTCGGAGAACCCTCAAGTAGTTGAGGAATTAACAGTATGTATCCGAACCCATTATTAAAGTTCTAAGCTTTCAAATTGATAATGCCATTCTATTCACAGTATTGGCGCTACATGTTGTCGTTAATCAGGCTGAACATGAAGCGATTCTGAGGAAAAGAAAAAATCCAAACTACCGCCTCACATGGGAGGAGTACCGATCCATGACGTTTATACGAATGGTTAGTTTCTACATTCTTAAATATAAATCATGTTTCTCATTTTTGTTGCATGATGATCTTATATTCTTAATTAGGGAACGTGGTCAATCGTTCATATAGGTTGTCAATGAAACGCTTAGAATTTCCAACGTTTCAACTGGTATATTCCGAAAAGTCTTGAAAGATTTTAAATTCAAAGGTGTGTTACCAATTCGTATTTTAAAATCTCATTGCTAATTTCTTACATTCAATTCAATTGGTTGTTTGAGAAATTTCCAGGATATACCGTTCCAGCTGGCTGGACAGTAATACTGGCTACCCTTGCTATTCAGTTGAATCCAAGAACATTCAGGGATCCACTCACATTCAATCCATGCCGTTAGAAGGTAGGCAATTTTACGATTCCAGAACCTTATTAGGGAGAGATTAAATTGATATAACATTAAAAACATCATTCCTTCCAGTCTTTTTATTGTTTGTCCAATGGTACGTAGGACCTTGATCAAGTAACTATTTCTAAGAATTTCATGCCATTCGGTGGCGACACGAGACAATGTTCCGGAGCAGAGTACAGCAAATCGACGGTGTCCATTTTTCTGAATGTCTTGGTCACCAAATATAGGTAGATTTGATATTTCTTTCTTTTAATACTCTTCAGTGGCAACAGAGAACAAAAGTTTATATGAGGAGTTCTTCTCTTAACTGTTTGGATTGGTTTATGCCAGGTTTACTGCAGTCAAGGGAGGAAATGTATCTCGCACTCCTGTCATATCATTTGGTAATGGCATCTACTTTAAGTTTACAGCCAAACCATAAATGAGAATTTTTTTCCCCTTTGCCTCTGGAAGTTTATGGCCAAATACTTTGTCGTACGAGTTTATAGTAACTAGTCACTTTTCCGTATATACGTTATTGAAGGTTGGAAGACCTTCCGACTACTAAGTTAGTCTAAGTTAGCTACTGATAGAGAAAATGCCTTAATTGGCTATAGTCTTTATAACAAATTTCATTACATCGTAACAAGATGTGGTTTGTAGACTCATTGTATCATAGAAAAAAAGGACATAAATAACTTGAGTACAAGATCAAGCCGGATTTGTAATCGAATCAAACTAGCTATTGATTTGGTCTAGTTGATTCTATCTTTCTTACTCACCCAATTTGATACGTTAAAATCCGGTTAAATTAAAAATAAAATTAAGAAATTGATTTTTTTTTTTTTTTTTTTGAAAAAAATCAGATTCATGGATCAACTCAATGACTTTGACACATAGTTGGATAATGTTCGGATCAATTTTAAAAACTATGATTAAAAAATGGCAATCAAATTAAATTAATGATTTAATAATGATGGATGTTTTATAGTTCAATACTTTTGTCACATATAACCACCTGGTTCTTTTCAACAAAATACATGTATATATTGGTTTATGTTACTATTCGTCGCTCTGTCCAAAATATTAGTGCACATATTATTTTAGGGAACAATGGTTAGAAAAATTTGAAATCTATATCACTTTGAAGGAAAGAAAAATCTATATTTTTAAAATGATATTTCTCCCACTACATTTGTAGTTTGTTATTAAATTCATGATAAAAATACTTTTACGACATAATAAAGTTATCAAAAGTTTGATGGATAGCAAATAAAAAACTTCTGCTGAAAATCCTGTTACTGTAGAGAAAAGAATAAGAAAAAACTTGTATGATAGATTCCACCATAAAAAAATAGGGATAATTGAACTATTTGTACATTAGTTTTTTTAAAAAAAATTTCTCAATCAAATACATAAATTTTAATTTAATTTTTTCTATTTGAGTATATTAACTTTTTTTAAACTATCAATCATGTATTTTCATTATGTTTTTTCATTAATTGATGAAGTATTCGAATGTAAAATTATAATTTTATTCTCTTTTTATTAAAGAAAACTTCTTTCCAAATTATTTACCATTTTAAAATTTGATAAATAATTAAAAAATATTATTTTTATCTATAAAAATCCAAATTAAACTCATTTAGGTTGTTGTTAAAAAAACAAACTCAGTTAGATTTAAGAGTACAAATTTTTTAAAAAATACAAATGAATCTTTTTGATGCAAAATCTCACGTTTGTGCTTCCTTCAACTTTCATGTCCAAAACCTAATTTTTTTTTTTTTAACAACAAATCTTATTAAGTTTAGTTCGAAGTTTTATAACTAAAAATAATTTTTTTTTAATTCTTTGTCAAATTTAAAATGATATAATAATTTAAGAAAAAAAATTTTACAACAAAAGAGGAAAAACATATAATTTGGTATTCAAATACATCATCAATTAATGAAAAATTGACATAAGTGGCAGTTTGAAAAAATTGATGTACTCAATCTGAAAAAAATTTAAAGTTCATGTACTTCATTGAGAAAAAATGATAAAATTATAATTTGGTATTCTGAAGATAACGGACACGTTATTAGTTAACAAAAAAATTAATAAAAGTACTTGATTGATAGTTTTGAAAAAAATAATGTACTCAAATAACAAAAAATAAAATTTATATACTTGATTGAGAAAAAATTAAAAATTAGATATACTTATGGTGTAATTATCACATAAAAATTTGTTGTTTTTGTGTATTTTAGAATTATGAGAAGTTCAATCTTGTTATAGAATATAATAAAACACGAATCAATAGTTATGTCTAAATCATTAATTAAATTTAAATTAAATAGATATGATTTGATTCATGATAAAAATAACAATAAATTAACTATCTATTAGTGTCTTCATGTTTTCTCCCATTTAATCAAATTATTGAATTATAAAGTAATAATTGAATTCAAAAATAATAATAACTAGGTATAAGACCATAGTTTAGAAAAACTGGAACATGCAAATATCCAAATCATATAAAGGAACATGTTAAGTATGAAATATATTTGTCTAAATTCACAATGTCTTTAGTTTCCAATTAGTTGGATACCCACAAACGCTGCGCTTAGATAACCGTTATATACGTATGTTAAATCGTGTAATGCAAGTAAAAAACTTATTTCTTATAATTAATGTAAATCAAATCTATTTGGTGAGTAAAATTATTTGATATATATATATATATATATATATATATATATATATATATATATATATATATATATATATATATATATATTAACAAAATAATCAATAATATTAGTATAAAAAGTTGTATTTGAATAATTGAAAGGTTCTTTCGAAACATTATTTCAAATATTTTATTTAAAAATATTAATTTTAGAATATAAAAAATAATAAATAACAAATAGTTAGTGTTATGTGTGCATATACATAATTAGTTTTCAACAAAACTAATATATATATATATATATATATATATATATAATCATACTTAATAGATTCGGAGTATATAGTATAAACAATTTGTTTAAAAAAAACCATCTAAGTTATATAGAATAAATTAAAGTCAATAAATTGAAATAAAAAACCATTACAAAATTGGTTTCTATAAATTTTACTTCTTAATTTATGATGAAAGAGATTTTTGAATTGCAAATTAAATTATAAATTATTTCATTTCATTTTGAGAAATGAATTAATGAATTCTTTTGGTTTCAAAAATAATTTTTTTAATTTTTTAATTAATGTTGACCACGAATAATTTATTTTTTATTTTATAAAATATCTTTTTTTGTATTTCATATTTTCAATTTTTTTTAATTCTTTATCTATTTCTTAAAACAATAAAATAAAAATATTGAAATGGCTAAAAGGACAAAAAATTAGTTTTTGAACCAAATGGACTAATGATGTTATGTATGTGCAGATAAATAATTAATTTTAAACAAAACTAATGATATATAGATAATAATAGATTCGAGTATATAATATAAACAAGACTTAAAAAAGAAAAAAAAACCTATCTAGCAACATATTAAAGTCAATAAATTAAAATAAAAACTACTACAAAATTGGTTCCATAAATTTTACTTCTTAATTTATGATGAAAGAGATTCTTGAATTGCAAATTAAATTTTAAATTAGTCTATCTTGTTTTGAGAAATGAATTAATTAATTCTTTTGGTTTCCAAAATAAAGTTTTAATTTTTAATTAGTTTTGACCAAAAATAATTTATTTTTTTATTTTATAAATTTTTTTTCATATTTTTACTTTTTTTTATTCTTTCTCTATTTCTTAAAACAAAAAATAAAAACATTGAAATTAAAAAAAAGATAAAAAACTTAATTTTTGAACCAAATGGACTAATTTATAATAACTCTTGAATAGCAAGTGGCTTTGGCTTTCTTGTCGAAAATAAAAAGAAAAAAATATTAAAAAAAGACATGAGCAATAAATGCTCAATGTGAAAAAAATAAAAAGAAATGACAAAAAAGGATACAAAAAAATTAAAAGAAGAATCAGTTAAGAATAAAAATAAAATTTTTTAAAATTTACAGAGTACAAAAGAGAAATTAACAAAAAGTCAAAAGGGCAAAAAATCAAGCAATACAACCAATAATAAATCTAACTTTGGTTTTTTAATGTAGCATCCTATTAAATGAATTTCGTAGGTGCGCGAATGCTTTCATTAATATAAATGTACGCTCACACATGTATATACCGTACGTCGCCTCTAGTTTCCACGAAGAAACCAGCGCACGTCAATGTTTAATTTATTGTTCAGCAGCCAGACTTGATCGAAGCTCGATTTTTCTTGAATTCTGACAACCATGATTGCTACTCCATATTAGTCGTCCAATAACTGAGTTTATGTTTATCCCAATTAATATTTCCAACACCCAACCAATTAATTACCTATTTCCAACAGCCAACCAATTAATTACCTAGTTATAAGAAAAATTACCGCAATTGCAACATTAATTTTTTATTTTTGGAACAAATCATGGAGCTAGTGGAATAGCCTAATCATGCTTCAGCAATGAAAGAATAAAGTTTAAAAATGAAAAAAATATTTAATGATACCATAGTGGTAGATATTATTTTTAAAAATTAAAAAAATTAAAAAAATATTAAATAATATAATACTCATTAAAATAAAATATTTTTTCTTATATTTTTTAAAAAAATATTATTTTTATAAAATTATTATAATTTTTTTTTACACACTTACGTCATGCAGCACTATTCTTAAAAATGATAATTATGTGAAATAGAAGTGGTCAACAATGGCTAGCTTCAATAAAAATTCGTTTCCTTGTCAGCATTGTCAATACCAATAAGCTTGACCGAAGGCATTGATTATAATCCAGTGAGGAGCCTCACACCTCTCCCTGCTTCAGTCAAAACAAGGGAAAGACGAAAAATAGACAGGACCTGGTTTTTTGGTTGTTGCTGTTATTATTATTTTTAAAAAAAAAGAAGAAGAAGAAGAAGAAATGGTGGCCCTTACAAATGTATTCAGCAGCGGAGCAATTACGCAGAACACGTAGCATGCTTTCAAGATCAATAGACAATAATTGCAGCTGATATTAAAATCCCTATTTGTCAATGGTCAATAATTGCAGCTGGTTTTTTAATAAGAGGCTATGGTTTAATTAAAAAATATTTTTATCTCAATGCATATGGTTTTATATTCGTGCCATATGGTATGAGATCCATATAAAACCCCAGCTGAAATGAAGGATTTAAATGATTTTTTATTTATTTGAAAGGCTTGTTAGATCTTAGAGCATATAATTAGAATACTTTCTGTTGTATAATAACCAAATAAATTAAAACTTAAACCTAATTTATGGAATGAAGCTATCTCTATTCAAATAAATTGAATTCATTGAAACGTGAATCTAATTTATTGAGTAAAGGTATCGGGTGTATGTAGATAATAATTAAAATTTATTTACAAATCTCACATAACAACTTTTTATTTATTTATTAAAGCGATTTTTTGACATGTGTGGTAGCTTTAATGACAGGTGGTCAAGAGGAGTTCATCTCTCACCATCCTACTTTAATTAAAATTAAAATTTCAACACAAGATAATATGACTATGTATGAATTTTAAGATTTTAAAGATTTTTATTTGAAAAAAAATTTGTTAAAAAATAATATAAAATTATTTTCGAATTTTACCTAAAACTCTGGATCAGATGGTTTTTTTTAACAATATATAACTACTAGTTTATGCCTCTTGTATATGATCATTACCAAAATACGTTTTGTAATTTTTTTTTCTTTTTACCAACGATCAATATCAAAGGCTTTAATGTAGATTGAATCTTCTGCTATAATATTTTTCTTTTTTTCGCTGAAGTGTACGTGAAGTTATGTCTTATCTCATAGACAAGGCAGCTTTATATGGACTCTCCCAGTCAATAGTCTCGCTGTGTGTTGCACGTTACAAATTATATATTATTTTGGATTAACTAAGAAAATATTTAATTATTTAACTGAAATTTCAATAAAAAAGTTTCATTGTATTTTATTAACTTACCATTTCATGACTAAAAATAGAGTAATATAATAATATGAATTTCCGTTGCATTTTGTGTAATAATTTCAAGAGCATTTTTTTCATATTGATTGAGTGTTTCTATTCTTCATTTTATTTTGCTATGGTCTCTTTGTTATAATGCTAATAATTTATGACTTTGTTATAATGCTAATAATTTATGAATGGTCGTAACATATTATTCTCATGAAGATACAAAATGTGTAATATATAGAACCTTAATAAAAAAACTCAATTAATATGATAAAAAATATGAAATTTCAATCAAAATAATTCAAAAAATATAAGAATCAAATTATTATTTTTATTTTATTTTATTTTCCATGTTATTGTTTTTTGAAAACTTGTTAATGTGCAAAATATGTCATATATGATAACCATCACAGTAAAACTATGAAGAATTTTTTTATATATATAATAAGTTAAAATAATATGTAAAAAAATAATAAGAAGAATAACAAACCTAACATGCAATTAATAAAAAATAAAATAAAAATGGTGGCATGCAATATTGATTAGTCATAAATTCCTAGTTATTGGATCTAATTCTCTATAAAAAAAAATAAGAATTTTTAAATATTTTCATCTATTCAAAGTGAAAAAAAGAGCTCCTCTCTTGAAAAAATTACTGACTGCACTATCTTTTCTCACTTGATATAGATAACTTTAAAAAAAAAAATTCACTGTTTAAATGAATAATAAAACAAGTTGGGAAGTTCACTGTTCAAATGAACAATGAACTTCCCAGATATTTTAGTGTTTAGTAGAATTATTAGTTAGCATTATTATTTTTTTTTTACGATTATATTTGTAAATTTTTTTGTATTGTATTTTATTTTTCTATTATTATATTTCTTATAATTTTTTTTCATAGTTCTACCATGTTAGGGTTCCACATATAATACATTTCTACAATTAGGATAAGGTTTTAAAAAAAATAATAACATAAAAAGTAAATAATAATAATACTAATATTACTACTAATAATAATTTGGTTTTTGTATTATTTGAATTTTTTTGATTGAAATTTTATATTTTTCCATATTGATTGAGTTATTTTATTAAAATTTTACATATAACACATGTTACGTATTCGGAAAAATAACTTGTTATATCAGCTCACAAACTAACAAAAAAAATATAACTAAAGGACAATAGTAAAATATAATCAAGGGTAAAAAGATCAAATCAATATCATAAAGAATACAAAATTTTAATTAAAAAAATTTAAAAAAAAAAAAAACCAAATCCGGACAAAACCCCAGCATAACTCATCACCTTTCCCCTCCCTCGATATTTTTTCAACGGCCTCAGTCAAATTTTAATAAGAAGATTACAATAAATCATGAATTGTGACTACCACATAATATAATATTATTTAATTGGGAATGATTTGCACTGATTTATGTCTGGGAACTTTTCATGAAATTCATTAAAATAACTCTGGAAACTATGAAAAATACTAACTAAAAATGGTTCTGAACAACACCGATCTAATTCCCATATTTTTTTTCAAAAACATTTCTTCTTATATTAGCATTTTTATGTCAAGATCAATCAAGAAGATTTTTCTACTGAGAATAATTTAGGACGCAATCAAATTGAAAATATGTGTTGCTGAATAAAATATTAAAAATTTAAGAACCTAATATTTAAATAAGAGTATTTAACATTAGCATTTATGGCTTGTACGTCATAAGTCAATAATACAACTTTAGACACCAGCATATGGGAAATACAAATAGGTATGCGTCGCTTGTTCGTTTTTTGTTTTTTTCAATTTTAAAATCAGTTGCATTAATTTTTTTTGTTAGTTAAGATGGGTAATTGTGTTGTTAAATAAAAAACTAATCAAAATATTAGAGTAATATCATTACAATTTGGCAAAAAAAAAGGGCCATGGTTTTTTCTTTTCTTTTCTTATTTTTTAAGAATAAAATGCCATGAATGTTAGTATTAAATAAAAATAATGCCGGAAATATTTATTTATTTATTTATTTTAGTAAAATTCATTATTAAGTGACGTACCATCACGCAATTGGTCTAATTTTATCAATCACTCAAGTTTATAATTATAATTATCCTATCAAATGTGATAAGATTTATATTCTATGATTTGAAATTCTTTCCTTGTAATAGATGTCATATCATTTAGTAAGCAAAACTTACTAAAACAAATTAGACAATGCTAGAGATATTTAATTTTTTACTAAAATTGTCTTTCTAAGTGATATGGCAATATATAACTGGTGATTCATTTGTTAATACATTTTATAATTATTATTGCATTATTAAATGAGATAAGATTGACATTCGATAATTTGAAACTTTTTCTCCACAATAAATGCCACATCACTTAATAAAAAAATTGGTCATTCATTATCTTTAGTTACGTAATGCAGGTTCTAAATTTTTTTGGACAACGACACAATAAGTACTAATTTTTTTTTTTAATTTTTTTAATTTTTTTTTACCAAATGATATGATATTTGTTGCGGAGAAAGATTTTTAAATTATAGAATGTGAATTTTACCATATTTAATGATGCAATGATAATTATAAAAAATATAAATGAATCACCAATTATATGCTACTAAACAATTTTAGTAAAAAAACTAATTAAGTATTTCTAGCATTATCTTTATAAGCATTGTCCCAATGCAAATAAATTATAAATTAATCTCTCTATTGAACAATGATAAGAGTACTAAGTGACATGACAAATTTTTAAATTATGGAAGGTAATTTTATCACATTTAATGGTGCAATGATAATCATAAAAAAAATATTAACTAGTAAATTACAAATTATATACTGTCACATCATTTAATAAAACAATCTTAATAAAAAATAAAGCATTTTTAGCATTATCCTTTAGTGTTGTTCTAATGCTAGTAAATTATAAGTTAGTCCCTCTATTGGACAAAGATAGAAGTATTAAAAGTTAAGAAATTTTAAAATACTAATGAAATAACTAATTATATTTGCTCTTTGGGTTCATTTTAATAAGAGAGACCGATACAAATAAAATAGAAAAAATTATATTCAGATTAACCAAAAGTGATAAAAATATTTTACTTAAACTCAGTTATTATAATTTTTTTAATCTTCTATTTCTTTCTTATCTTTGTATATTTTCTTTTCTTATGAAATAAGTATTGTTATTTACATAAATTTCTTCAAAAAGTTTGTAGTTGTTTTATACCAAATGATATGGCATTTATTGTAGAGAAAGATTTTTAAATTGTGGAATGTGAATCTTACATTTAATGAAATAAAGGTAATTATATAATATATTAACAAACAAATCACCTCTCGTTATTTAATAAAACAATCTCAGTAAAAAAATTAAGTATTTCTAACACTACCCTTTAGCAATGTCATCATGCAAATGAATTATAAATTAGTCCTTTTATTTTAATCAGTAGTTACTACATTTAATTTAATATTATTATATTTTTTAAAAATTATTTTTTAAATATATTTTTACTTATTTTTTAAAATCAAAATAAATTAAAAAATGTCTCTCCCTACTGCCTGACGGACCATTCTTATACTTACCATTCATTCCTCCTTGCAACCTTCAGGAGTTATCACTTTAGTTTGATTGGAGGGTGTTTAGCCTTATTAAAAACATTGGAAAAAATAGTTTATTTTTTTTCCAAAGATTAAGTTATAAAAAAATTAAAAATATAAATATTAAATAATTAATATTTTTTTAAAAAAATTTATTTATTTATTTTTTGAAACTAAAGGGATTAATTTATAATTTACTCTCCTAATGCCACAAATACATCTTGGAGCATGACGAAAACCAGTTTGAAAAGACGGAGGAAATAACCACGCAATGTTGGAAACCAATTTCAAAAGATAAAGATGAAAAACACAAAAAGCAAGACCAGAGAAATAACCAAAAAAAAAAAAAAAGAGAGAGAGGAAATTAATGGTTTAGTAAACGCAGTTGGAGTCAACTCAAATGACGGGGAAAGAAGTCTGTCTCTAAATTGACAAATAATGAGAGGCGGCTACATTTTCACCCTTTTTAGTTTTTCCAAATAATATTTGCTTATAGTATTATTTTGCAAGAAAAACAAATAAAGCACAATTCCTACTTCCATTTTATTTCCTCTTTTATTGTAAACAACGTTTTTATTTATCAAATTTAAATGAATATTTTTTAAAAAAATAGGTGAAGATGTAATCCAACTTTTAATCACTTTTGAATGAACATTCTCAAAACAAATTTAAGGAAATTTATATTTTTATTTTGATTGAAATTAAAAAAACATTATAAGTAAAAATAAGTAAATTATAATTGATTCTTTTGAGGTATTATAAAATTATAAATATTATTCAAAAATTCAAAATTTTAATTAAGAATCTTTTAATATTTTAAAAAATACTATAAATATTTTATTTTATTATCAAAATTTGTTTACTATAATATTTTAAGCAAATATTATTTTTATCTTTGTCCTTTTTTAATTTTTTTCAAAATTTATTTGTTTAATTCAGTTTAAAAAAAAAAGCGTAGAGAGACGAGATTAAGGGAAAAAAGAGTGACACGTGTTATAATCTTAACGATGCGATTTAATATGGTTAGCATAAAAAAAATAAAATTAACAACACATAAAAAGAAAAAATTGAAGGATTCCTGCAATCCTTAGCCCTTTATTCTCTTAATATTTTAAACGAAGTCTTGTGCAACTGTTTTGAATAAGTCTCGGCCTACCCCACAAATTGGCATGTATTTAAGGCTCCTCGTCATCCATTCTTCCCACTCAACTCTTTCATTCCCTTTCCTACATCAATTAACAGTAGAAAGAGAAGAAGCGAGCAAAAAGCTTAGCAAGATGTGGGCAATTGGATTGGTTGTTGTTGCATTGGTTGTGATATACTATACTCATTTGATTATCAAATGGAGGAATCCTAAAATGGAAGGGGTTCTCCCTCCAGGTTCCATGGGCTGGCCCCTCATTGGAGAGACTCTTCAGTTCATTATTCCTGGAAGATCTCTAGACCTTCATCCATTCGTCAAGAAAAGGATGCAAAAGTACGTAATTGATTATATGCTAGCATAGTTTGTGAATTATGAGGAGAAAAAACAAGAAAAAGAAGAAGTTTATACATAGATTTATATCGCACTTTCCTACTACTAACGAATCAATGTTCATCTCCTTGTTTCAGGTATGGACCGATCTTTAAAACCAATTTGGTTGGGAGACCCATCATCGTGTCCACTGACTATGAAATGAACAAGTACATCTTGCAGCATGAAGGAACTTTGGTTGAGCTTTGGTATTTGGATTCATTTGCCAAGTTCTTCGCTCTTGAGGGTGAAAGCAGGGTGAACGCAATCGGCACAGTTCACAAATACTTGAGAAGCATAACTTTGAACCACTTCGGTGTCGAGAGCCTTAGGGAATCATTACTTCCTAAAATCGAAGACATGCTTCGCACCAACTTGGCAAAGTGGGCTACTCAGGGACCTGTGGATGTCAAACAAGTTATTTCTGTCGTGAGTACATTTTCCTTTGATACACAAGTCATAATTAACAATTTTCTTGGTCTGTTTCTCATAAACTGTCTTTTCTGACTGTAGATGGTTTTCAATTTTACTGCAAACAAAATATTTGGTTATGATGCTGAAAACTCAAAAGAGAAGCTCAGTGAGAATTACACAAGGATCCTGAACAGTTTCATCTCCTTGCCCTTGAATATCCCTGGCACTTCATTCCACAAGTGCATGCAGGTAAACAGAGTAGTCCCTCAACTTTGAAAACTGTTCTTTTTCTGGTAATCACTACTCAGGAATGATCAATCAATAATGATATATGATCTTTCTATTGATTCAGGACCGAGAGAAGATGTTGAAAATGTTGAAGGATACCCTGATGGAGAGACTCGCCGATCCATCAAAGCGTCGGGGAGATTTTCTTGATCAAGCCATTGATGATATGAAGACAGAGAAGTTCTTGACAGTAGATTTCATCCCTCAACTCATGTTCGGGATTTTATTTGCCAGCTTCGAATCTATGTCAACCACTCTAACTCTTACATTCAAGTTTCTTTCAGAGAACCCTAAAGTAGTTGAGGAATTAACAGTATGTATCCGCACTTATTATCAAAATTTTAAGCTTGCAAATTGAAGATGCCACCCTGTTCACACCATTTCTTGCTCTAATTGTTTGATCAGGCGGAGCATGAGGCAATCGTAAAGAAAAGAGAGAATCCAAACTCCGGCCTCACATGGGAAGAGTACCGATCTATGACTTTCACACAAATGGTTAGTGTTCACATTCTTAACTTAAATATGGTCTTCTTGTTCTAAACTTAAGTTACAAATCATGCTTTTCATAAGATGATCTGACATTCTTAATGACATGATTTTAATTATCATGCATAGGTTGTGAATGAAACTCTTAGAATTTCCAACATCCCACCCGGTTTGTTCCGAAAGGCATTGAAAGATTTCCAAGTCAAAGGTATACTACGCTTTCGTAATTCAAAATTTCTATCTATGCTTTTCTTTTTCAAAAAAGGTGATCGATTTAATTGACTGTTTGTGAAATTTCCAGGGTACACTGTTCCAGCTGGTTGGACAGTAATGCTTGTTACCCCTGCTGTTCAATTAAATCCTGATACGTTCAAGGATCCAGTTACATTCAACCCATGGCGCTGGAAGGTACTTTTCCGTTTAAAATTGATTCAATTTTCCTATGATTGTTATAACATAGATAGAATCATCCCTTCCCTCCAGAGCTGATTTTTTTCCTTTTCTTTTTATTGTTTGTTCAACGGTAAACAGGAACTTGACCAAGTTACTATTTCCAAGAATTTCATGCCATTTGGTGGTGGCACGAGACAATGTGCTGGGGCAGAGTACAGCAAACTAGTCCTGTCGACTTTTCTCCATAACTTGGTTACTAATTACAGGTAAATTTGATTTCTGTTAATAGTTATAGAGATATCATAGAATATAAATTTATGCAATAAATTATTATTTAGTCTTTTTTTAAAAAAAAACTAATTATTAAGTATTTTTTTTAATCTTATAACTTAATCCTTCTCGTTATTTTTTATTTTTATGTTTTAAGAAATATATATAAAATTTTTTTAAAGGAATTGATTAGAAAATATGGCATTTTATAAAATAGAATACTATTAAATTAAACATGATAAACACTGATTAATTAATTAAATAATTGATTTTTAAAATAAAGAGGACTAATTAATTAATTTCTTAAAAATAAAAAGACTAATTTATAATTTACTCAAAACTTACGATACGATTTTTTTTCTTAACTCTTTGGATTTTTATTTATTTGTTTATTTGTATGACAGGTTTACCAAAGTCAAGGGAGGAGACGTATCTAGGACTCCCATCATTTCATTTGGGGATGGAATCCAGATTAAGTTTACAGCCAAAGCATAAATGAACAAGTTTTTTCTTTTTTCTTTTTCGTTTTTCCTTTTTACCAGTTTATTTGCAAGTAAAAGAAAGAACTGTGAATCCAGAAGGAGGATAAGTAGACCTTACCTGGTTTGGTTTATAAACATTGTAGCAATTGAGCCTTGATGGTTTGTAGGTTGGTTTGAAGAGGATAATTGTAATGTTTACAGCAGCAATTTGTAATAATATTTTCAAAATCTTTTTTTAATACAGAGAGCGTCCTTTGTTTTATTTATTTATTTATTCTTTTATGAATAAATTGACGGCTTCCAGCTTTGTTGATTCTTAAACATAATGGATATCTCATCTCATAATGGACAGCTTCACATTTATGTTTCTCCATTTTAATAAATCTCACGGCCATGCCAATAAGCTGTTGTTCGACTAGCATTAGCGTCCTCTCTCTCTTCAACAGATCTTGAGTTCGAACCTCTCTCTCTCTATATATATATATTGAGTTTTCAGCTCAAGAGACATATAATTCAATTACTTGTTTATTTAATAATAATAAGAAAACAAGTAATTAAATTATATGTCTCTTGAGCTGAAAATTCAATATATATATTATCGGTTAAAGTTTCCAAAATAGCCTGTGATGAGTAATGTTATTTTAAATCTTTTCTAATTTTTTTTTAAAAAAATGGAGATACCAAAAAATATTATATCTAATATCGTTGATAAAATTATATTACGAATATTTACCTAGAGAGGGTTTGTGGCTTCAACCCATATATTAGTACATTACCTTGGATTGGTGTTCGAAGTACTTAAACTAACGAGGTCGTGATCTTTTATTTTATTTTAATAGTTGTATCCATACTTATCATGATTGCGAGTAATTATAAAATAAATCCTTTTTAGAATTTAGAATACCCTCTGATAATTAAATTAGCATTTGAAAAGATATGCTTGGCATGAATATGTTTAATTACAATTGACATGAATAGATTTAATTGTTTTTTTTTTTTTACTCTTAGTATGATGAGTAAATATATGATATTATATCAATTATAGAGTCAAGAGGCAGAACCTGCAACACATGGGGTTGTTATACCTTACATAATAGGAGAATCATGTCTTTAATGCAGACTCAGCATTATTGGAAAGATTGTTGTACCTCATTCTTGATGGGGTTGACACTATGTGCAGGGAGTATGTTCCTTTAATAAACGTACCATTTGCTTCATATTTAGTGAAGATTGGCACGGAGTTGCTGAAGAATTATCCCGAATGGAAAAGTTTGAGTGTTTTAGACTCGATGGTGGGGTTCCTCATGATGGACCATATGTAGCTAAGAGTTTAGGTCTTTATATATATATAAGAAAAAGTGTTGTTCACAAGGTTGCCCATTATTATTATTATTATTATTTGGTATATCAGTTGCCCTCAAGTCTTTGGCGGTTTACACAGGCAAATACTTGATTTATGCTTTGGCTTTTCTCTATGTGTTATGGTTAATACCTGCTCGTTGGGGTTTCTTGACCTTTTTATATGACGATGCCATGAGTGGGGTCAAGTCTATAAACATATTCAAAGTTGTCAAGCCTAAATGACGTCATATCCATAAACACATTTGAAATGACGATTCTACGAGTGACATCAAGCCCATAAACACATATAAAAATAAAAATAATGATGCCACAAACGGCATCAAGCTCATAAAAACATTTGAAATGGCGATACTACGAGTGGCATCATGCCCATAACACTTTCACGATTGACAAGCCATGAAATATGTCAAGCCTATAAACACATGTAAATTTAGTGAGTTAAGAATGACGTTAAGCCCGTAACACATTAGAAATTGACGAGCCATGAATGGCGACAAACCTATATCACATTTACAAATTGGCAAGTCATGAATGACGCCAAGTCCATAACACACTCACAAATGATGAGCCACAAATGGCTTTAAGCCCATAACACATTTATAAAATTGGTGAGCCACAAATGGTTTCACACCCATAATATATTTCATCACATCACATATATCCCATAATCATTTAACAAAAATGGCATCGATATTCGGAGCTAGCACCAAACCATTCAATGCACCCACATATGTCATATAGATCAATAGAAAAAATCGATATCGGCATTCAAAACCAACACTACACATTTTAATTTATCATCATATATTTCATATGGCACTTCATCATAACACGATAACATTCGAAATTGACACCAAATACTTTAAAATGTGTACACATGCATCACATTCTATATAATTGTTTAATAATATAGTGTTGACATTCGAAGTCGACATCGATCATTTTGATACATCCACACATATTACACATATTGTCTAACAAGAACGGTGTTAGCATTCAAAACCAGCACCAAACACTTTAACATACTCACACATACATCACATATATTAGTTTGCACATATGGAGTCGACTTTTAGAGACAACACCGACCATTATGGCACATACACGCATATCACACATATTCGCTTCATAAACATGATGTCGACCTTTAGAGCAAACCCCAAACATTACAGACACATACACACATGTCACATGTTTTTCTCACACGTATGACGTTAGTCTTTAGAGCTAGCACTAAGCATCATAGTACATATAAACATAACACACATACTCTTCCACAAACACAACGTCAACCTTT